AGTCTTTATTGGCGCTCACTTCAAATCAGCCTGTGGTGGCTTTGTGGCAGCACCATTGATTTCCAATGTGAACACAGAGGTGAACATCATCTCCTCTGGAGGGAGCGTCAAGCGTTTCCAAAAATCTCCCAAAACACCATGAAAAGTTGCCAGATTTGTTGTTATAGTCACTTTATAAAAAGTGTTTTGAAACACCCTGCGACGAGTGGATGTTGAGTGTACTTTATTCTTTGTGTGTTTTGACTAAAGCATGTCAGAGAGCTTATATTAACTCTTTCAGGGACAGCGGTCACTACAGTGGACAACTTATCATGTTATCAGGTTACAGGGTGCATGAAAGGGTTAGAGTACTACCTGGGAACTCTTTTGAATATGAACGCATTGTACGTCGCTCAGTATGTGCAGTGCAGTTGCACCCCACCCCAAACTACAACTGCAGTAGTAAACATTCTGCGAAATAAATGTGTTGTCCTTGCAAAGGCTCAATGCTGTTCTGTATTGTTAGATCATGCAGGCAAGTGTAATATTTTGTCAGACGAGGGTCTGCCACAAACATTTCCCTCCATCCCTGGCTTTCAAAGCGTGCTTCTCTTGTCACGCTGGATCAAAAAAAATATCCTCTTCATGCCTTTAAGGCCAAGAGTTCTGGTTGCCCATCATTACATAGAGAGCAAGACTGGTTGGAACTAGTCGGATGGATTACACAACAACACGTTCAAATGGGGGCAGTCACACAATGTGGACGCTGCAAAGCTTTAAACTCAACGTTCCACATCTTCCCTACATGTGAGATGCGGAATAAGTTGATCGAGCATTTAATGAAATGCACACACGTGACCAGAGCTGCACCGTGTGTGTTCATGCTGGCTGACGAGCATCTTAAAGCCACGTTTGACTTGGGGGGGCCTGTTATGCACTCCAATTTGTGAGACCCCGATACATTTTTTTTCCCCCCTCTCTCTGTCACTCTCTCTCTCCTTACATAACATGGCCTCACCCCCTCCCCTCCATCCTTTCCTCCCTCGCACCACCAGGATCGAGCCTGTACATTCCGGTGGTTGTCATAGCAACAGAGCAGCATCCCTCTCCATCCTTTTGTGCAGCGTCTCCCCGTCGCTTCCAGCTTTCCCAGGCTGACCGTGGCGTCTATTCCGCATACAAATAGAAGGTCTTAATTGAGCTGGGAAGCAAAAAGGGGAAAGACGGCGAGTGAGATTGAGCAGCGAGATTGGCACAGAGGCACTCAAGTAGCACTTGTGACCATCAGATGTCCAACCGGTGCAGTTGCAAAATGAATATATCTTGCTCTATACTATCAGTAATATTTCAATTCATATTGTTCAGCAATAATTTTTTTTCCTAGGAAATCCTGAAAACAATCTTGTCTGTTATTAAATCATGGAATGTTTTACAGTCTAATATAGCACAAGAAAGTTTTTATATTAACATTATTTACGCTTACCGCCTGTATAAGAGTTAAAAATTTGCGCGTCGACCTTACAGTGCAGAGGTACCAGGTTCGATTCCAGCTCTGGCCTCCCTGTGTGGAGTTTGCATGTTCTCCCCGTGCCTGCGTGGGTTTTCTCCGAGTACTTCAGTTTCCTCCCACATTCCAAAAACATGCATGGCAGGCTGATTGAACACTCAAAATTGTCCCTAGGTGTGCGTGTGAGCGCGGATGGTTGTTCGTCTATGTGTGCCCTGCGATTGGCTGGCAACCGGTTCAGGGTGCCCCCCACCTCCTGCCCGAAGACAGCTGGGATAGGCTCCAGCTCGCTCCCTGCGACCCTTGTGAGGATAGAGCAGATCAGAACATGGATGGAATGAGTTCGCCGCTATACCGGGGATGGGCAACTTCAATGCTGGAGGGGGCCACAATTTTTCATCAGCTACTAGGGGGGCATTTTAACCCACAGCAAAACAGAAGAGTCATCATAATAAGGCCAGGATGTGCTGCCAAATGTTTGGCATTGGTATTTTCAGTTTTCAAGAGAATCACAGCATGTCTAAAAGAAGTGTAAAATGTAATTACTGGCACAGAAGCACTGCCAAGTGTTGTTTTCCCGTAAGTCCAATGACTTTCAACTATGACTCATGTGAACGAACCAACAGTACAACTTGTCTTCTTTCCTGACCTTAAATTTTATGCTGGAGACTTTTAAGGGAGGTGAGGCTTTTAAAATATGCCTGCACAAATATCAGCTATGACATACCACCTATACTGTGAGCCCACGTGCACCATCCCATTTCGGTTCCCGTGCAGCTAAATGCAGCCAGATACTGTCGTGTGCTGTGACTTTGATCCCTCGAGGTCCTTGGGTTTACGTTCAGATGATATTTGCGGATGTCCCAGTTTCCCTTCTACTCAGAAGTGATTTCATGTGCAGGCAGGAAGGCGAACTTCACAGTGGCTCTCGTGCGACCTCTAAACTGTACAGAGCAAAACGAAGCCATTTGAGCAGTAAACAATTTTATGAGCCATCTGCGAGTCTGGATTGCATGTGCATTTTGCTGTGGAGGTCGGGGAAAAAAATTGGGGTTTCAACATGTCTTGCAATACGTCAGTTCAAGTCTCAGTCACTTTTATATGCTCTATATATAAGGCACTTTACACATTGGGCAGGTCAAGAAATGCAATCCTCAAGACATTAAATGCCATGAAAAAGTATTTGCCTGGTGCTCACATTTTTATGACAGCTGCGGAGGATCCCAGAACCATCCTTCCACAGATGTCGTGGCAGAACAGGCTGTGAAAATGCTTGGGATTACTTTGGAAGTGGAAAACTTTAGTTTATAGTTGGGATTTGAAATATAGCGTTTGTGACAGCGGCTCTGGATTGTATTTATTTATTTTCAAACAACTCATCACCCAATTTCCTATGGGGGAAAAGTGTTAAGACGTAAAACAGTTAAAACAGTGATGTTGTTGTTTTGAGCAATCACAAGACTCCTTTTCTGATCTGTGAAACTGTGGATGGATTATTGAAAATATTGTTGTTGTCTAAATGAACTGTTTTGTGTTCTGTTTAAAATTTTCCTTGAACAGCACCTCCCAGAATTCCGCTTTAGTGTGGGAAGAAAAAAAAAAAACACCCTACCAGTGCCAATGACGGAAAACTTTAAGAACAAAACAAAGTGAGGCACATGTCAGCTCCTGGCCAGCCGACATCCTCTGAAAGAACACGAAAGCAGCCCACCCATAGATTATTGTCTGACTTGCTTCTGGCAGACCAATGAGCGAGCTGCTAGCTGGCCAGTTGGGATGTAGGGGAAAGGTCTCAAAAGGCAAACTTTGCATTCCCTCCCCCAACTCAGAGGAGAGAACATTCTATAGAAAGGAAGGTTTTGGACCTAAGAGGTGTTGTTTTTCCTGTGTGTTGTTGAGATGACTTTTCATCATCTCGTGGCAAAAAAAAAAAAAAGTTGAAACATGTGTCCTGACCTTAACACTCTGTTCTTATCTATGAAGAGCAAAAATGCTGAGCTGTCACAAAGGTTGACTGAATATAGAGATGCTGACGCGTGTTTACGTTTTAGACTATGGCGGCCGCAAAATATGAGACCTGGCTGCGTCGAAATTAGTCTCGTTTGATACGAACGAGGATAGAACACGGGGAAGAGGCGCAGTACATATGAATCACTGCAACATCTTATTGTAGATAGGGAGAATCCTCCCAGACCCGAGACGCAATTAGGCCAAAAGATTAGGTACACCCGCACAATCTCTGTCCAAAAAAAAAATGTAATTCTCTATGGTCACAGATAATTTGTCAAAATGTTTTTAAAATGTATAATGTACAATTTTTGATTTTTTATACATATATACACTGTAGTATGTGTTTCAATTTAGCATTTTGTATTTTTAGAAAGACTATAAATAGGTTGATTATTTAAACAATATTTTATATTCTGATTGGCTTTTTCAGATACACGAGAAGTATATATTTGTTTAATTTAAATCGGCAACATGGGAGGGAAAATTCTTTAAAAAAAAAAACGTCCCCCCCTCCCCCTTTTATTCATTTTTACAAACTACTGCAGACAGTGTCAATCAAAACTGACCAATACGCTTTCTGCAAAGGCATAGTACTTTGTTCTGGTTGACTTGTAGTGGCGAGCCCATGCATGTGTGATAAAAACTGCTGCGTAGTGCGAAGTAGAAATGTCTAAAATACCAAAACTGGAGGAATAATTTCAACCCCTTGTTCAACAGCTGCTGTTTTAACAGCACATACCCAACTACACACTAGTCGTCTCTTTATTGACTTAACACTCCTACGACAACCAACAACAGTGTTTGCATTCGGCTTATCCCGTGTCACGTGTTTAACAGGCAGCACGCTGATCTTTGAGTCAGCGGTCTCGCATGAACGTGTGACGCAAAAGTGAGCCCACGCACGCACAAATACATGCCTGGTAAATGCTGTCAGGCGGCCAGTCTAGACACTTGAGCTCACACAAAAATCTCCATTCATGTTAAGGTCAGCGAATGAAGTATTGATCAATTTGTTCTCGTTTTCTAACAAATGAAAATTCCAATTTTTAATGAAAATGTTAAATGGAGTGCACTTTATGGCGCTTTATCTGAATCCGATGTTTAGAAAGCTATAGTCACATATATTATTCCAGTATATCAGGGTTTAGTCTATACTGGTGCGTTGACAAAGCGAATCAATGGAAATGTTTTCCTTTATAGTTTAAAATAACTTACTTTCGTATCCAGGATCCCATGCTGTAGTCTGGTCAACTGCAGAACTCAGGCCATTTTTTTCCGTCTTTGGTCCCATTTTACATCCGCCCCCTCGATGTTGTACTAGCCTCATCCCTAGCTAGCGCTAAATAATTCATCTCTGCGGTTCGATTCGCAAACTTCCTTTCGTTTGTTGCTAGGAAGGTGTGAGAGACCAACAGCAACGCATTGATACAATGCCTAGCTGGGCTTTATTACTGAGCCCGTCAAATATTCCCATCCACACAACAAACAAGCCAAGACAGCAAGGTTGTGATAAAAAATAAGTTTTAAATGTACCAAGAGAAAAATAACCCGGGTTCAGTAAACTTGACAAATTTACCAAATCGGGCGCATTAACAAAAGGATAAAACTCCTTGAGGAAAATCTACAAATGGCAGTATGGACAGATCACCACATTTGAACGTCATACACCATCTCGGCACAAACATCTACAAAGCGTACCAACACGGGTGACCCAGTGTGTCAGAAATCTGAAGACAAACGTTGCCATTTAAAAATACACTTTATCATAAAAATCAAAGAGTTAGTACCGTGGGAAGTTGGAAAAGGAAGGTCAGCAACAAAGTAAATTAGCAGGACATGAACTAAAGATTTATTACGCCGTACATGCTGTCCGGCCTTAGCAGCTCTACGCTTCAGTGTCCATGTGCTTTAGTTCATTTAGCGGAGAGGGAGACGGGAATGGGGGAACGGCACAGACATGGCTAGAAAAACTGTTACAAAAGCCAATCCCTTCTCACGACGAAGGGAAGGTACCCTGCCATGACCAGAGTGGGGGACTACCAAAGTTATGAATTAACCGTTTGAAGTTGACCAGTCAACTTGAAGCCTTTTAAATGCAGGTTAAACCATCTCAATGGGAGGGGTGGGGAAAGAAAATAGCAAACAAGTGAAAAGAAAAGATGAATTTAGGAGGGTGGGGTGGCGGTTGGCAGTGGTCGTCAATCCACGATTTGTGGATTCAGTAATCCGCGGGTTCGTCGCCCTCCTCGCCCAGCAAACAGGTGCGAATGAGCGCCTCGGTGACGCCGTACGGGTCGCAGTTGGCCGACGGGCGGCGGTCCTCGAAGTAACCCTTCTTCTCCTGGCCAACGTTGCGCGGGATGCGAATGCTGGCGCCGCGGTTGGCCACGCCCGCCGAGAATTCATTGATGTTGGAGGTCTCGTGGTGGCCGGTGAGGCGGCGGGCGTTGTCCAGCCCCCCTTTGGGGTCGTAGGCACGGATGTGATAGCGGTGCCTTCTGCCCAGCTTCTCGATGGAGTCCTCAATGGCTCTGGAAGGAGACGGGACGGATCTTTGAGGTTACGAATGACATGCAATCAGCCATTTCACGCAGCGGCATAATAATGCATGCTGAATTACCAGCATACTTATAGTTTTTCATGTGATTTTTTTTTTTATGGGCTAGAAGTGTTTTTTTTTTTAACATTTACGAAAGTAGTCAAGTCATAATTAAGAGTTGATTAGCAATATTCCATGCGCATGCTGGGAATCTTTTGTTGTCACCAACATGCAAACAAGGCAAATACAAACATAAATATGCATTTAAACTCCCATGCAAACAAGCTTTTATTTAATGATCCTCTATTTGCAATAGAGTTCCGTTCACACTGTGCCAACGGGAATCAGACTTGACAGTCCACAAGTTTTGGCACACAAGCTAAAAGCTGCATCAGTATGTAATACTGACTTAATCAGCCTTTGTCTGAGGGCTCGTTATCTGCAGAGTTATAGTCTGTACTCCTTTTGGCCTTGTTTCTTTCAGGTCAAGCTTATCTTCAGCTTTGTTCTCAATGACCGAAAGTTAAGAAACAAAAGTCCGAGAAGTGAGCCATGCGGAACACCACATTTAAGATGAGACAATGGGAAAGCATACAAAATTGAGTTATATGATGCTAAAATGGATTTTTGCCCCCTTTCTGATTTAGGCTTGGCAGATGATAAAAAGTAATTTTGATGTAGTTAAAAGTTTAGCTTTGTCCCCCTGTAATAGAATATCATTTTTAAAAATTTGGACAGATCCTTAGTTCACCACAGTTCCATTCTAATGGAAACTAAACTCATGACATAGCCATATGATCTTTTAGTAGTAGAATTTCACAGTACTTTTGCTCAGCGAAAGATCATGATTTCTCAGTTTTCTGAATCTTGATCCCAAATGAACCAGAGAACTCTAATACTCACTTCAGTCCACCGTCCTCTCTCATCTCCTTTGTGCTGAAGTTTGTGTGGCAGCCGGCGCCGTTCCAGTTGCCGGGGATCGGCTTGGGGTCAAATGAGGCGATCACCCCAAAGTCTTCGCAAACGTGGTGCAGAATGAACCGCGCCACCCACAGGTGATCACCCATGTCGATCCCTTCACACGGGCCAACCTGGAACTCCCACTAGACACACCAACACACATGTCAACAATAAAACATGATATGCAAAATTCTTCCTCTCAACATGTTAAGTTTTCAGGGTGTTCTGAATTGTTATATGGAGGTGCATTCTAATAAGCTTGAATATCATGTAAAAGTTCAATTAAAAAATTTAAACTTGCATGACAGAGATTTGCGAAACAAATGGGGGATATTCAAGAAATCAAATTCTTCCCCAATTTTTATGTTAAAATATTTTAATTGCTTATAAGATGGTGAAATTAACACTTGTTAGTTGTAAGCTTTAAATAGAGGGAAAAAAACAATCATGAAATATTTCACCAGGTTTGTAATTAATCTATAATACATAACACTTTTTTGAATTGAACTACTGAAATTAAGTTTTCCACAATATTCAAATTTATTTTGATGATCATTCAAATGACAATCAATGAAAAACAGGAATAAAAACTAAGCTGGCGGATGTGACTTAAACCCTGTGTTGTTGGGATAGTGGATCTTGTATACAGGACATACAATGAGAAATGTATTCGGAAAAATAAATTCAGAGCACTTCTGCACATACTGTATTTTGTCCGTATTTAAATATAGCATTTTCCTCATACATCTACTTAGGAAGTACGTGGTCCTCTGTGGCCCCCTCCGTAGCACTGACGAAAAATTGTGGGGCCCCCCTGCAGCATTTAAGTTGGCCATTTCTGGTCTACTGTATTCTTACCTGGGCAGGCATCACTTCTGCATTTGTGCCACATATTTGAACCCCGGCATAGAGGCAAGCTCTATAATGGGCCTCCACTATGTCTCTTCCATATGCTTTGTCTGCTCCCACCCCACAGTAGTATGGACCTGATAAGAAATCAGCCGTTGTATTCTGATTCAAACGCAAACAGTGACATTTTACTCGTGATGAGAAAATGAAGCTTCAAATTTGCTTCATGAACCAGTTGTTGTATTTGTATTTTTGACTCCGCTTGATGGCAGTCTCTGCTAAACATTGTGTGGAAACTACACTGGCTTGCCAATTCTTAAACGCCTTTATGTAAACCAGCAGTTCCATTTAGAGGAGTCATAAATTACCACTGGTTCGTGAGGCAAATTTGAAGCTTCATTTCCCAACACTATTCACAACATTTGTGGGTTTTTTTTGCCCTCACCTTGAGGTCCTGGGAATCCATTGGATGGCCAGCCAAAGGGGTGTCCGTCTGTGCCCAGGATGGTGTACTCCTGCTCCATCCCAAACCAGGGAACTTGATCTTCTACCATCTTCATGACCTTGTTGCACCTGACTCGCAGGTTGGTTTCTGCAGATATGAAGGAAAACCCCTCTTTTATCAAAACAAGGGCTTCAAACACACCTCATGTGAGACTCATTTCAGTGAAATAGATGAATAGACGCCGTGCCCTTTCTCAGCCTAAATTAGCTTCAAATGGTGTGCACTTATTGCATTTGTCCAACCATGTGCCTACTTAATGAACGAACTCGTGCAGACAGAGACGTGACCATCTGTTTAGAGAGTTAACTCTCAGGTCAGTCAGCTGATATGTAGATAACTAACACTATTAGCAGGGAATTGTGTTACTTTGTGAGTGGTTTCACCTGCAGGCATGCGGTTGTACTTGAACACCTCACAGAGTACCAGCTTGTTTGGGTCTTTGCGGAAGGGGTCACGGAACATGGCAGCAGGGATGAGATACATGTCGCTGTTGGAGCCTTCGGCCTGGTAAGTGCTGGACCCGTCAAAGTTCCATTCGGGAAGTTCTGAAGGGGCAGCAGCAAAAGTTTATGTAGACAATTGGGTCCAATTTTATATCGCTTCCGCTCAAAGTCAGTCAAGCGACGATAATAGGATGTCATTAAAGGGTCATTATCCGGTGGAGTCAAGAGTAATTTTTTTTTCTTTCCTAAAATTTTCAATAGTCTGGATGCCCTACAGTACATAAAAAGTTTGATTTTGCAGTGTTGTTCCAATGTGCAAAGAGTGTTGGCTATCACCTATAATGCCTTTATAGTAATGAGAAAAAGTAATATCCCAAGATGCATTGCACACATTCAGAAAAGGAAACACATCAAAATACATAAGGAACTGAAGTGCTTTGTTTGTTTAGAATATCCATTCATCTCGTATACACCCAGCGATACCATGTTACAATTTATTTATTACAGAAGGTCCACCAGCTGGCGTTGATGCGGAATATTATAATTTTGTGACAGCAATGACAATGGCACGCCCAAGTTGACTGCCAAATTGAATGACGAGTGAACTGCTGGACCATAGTCCACTGTATTAAAAAAAATACCTCTAGAGTGATTAAGGAGTAGCAAAGGAGAAAATGCTTCCAAACACGGCAGTTGTGATGCAAATCTTGAGTACATCACAGACTGTAAGAGCAGTGAGTACACACATGGCCATTGTTTCCTCGTCAGGTGTGGGGTCTATCATGTTTTAAAAATGAGTCAAGATTTGAGTTGCAAAATTCTCAGAAACTATGAACCTCTTGTTATATGTTGTCTTGTGAGGGAAGAAATTTCATCTGTGCTGTATGTTGCACATAAAAATGGTTGCACATTCAGCACATTTGACGATAAAGTTGTACTTGACGTGTCTTGAATGGGAGCGAACAGAAGCAATAGTAATAAACTCAGTAATGCACTAAATTGGAGTTTGGCCCCAAGCAGGTACTTAAATATGCTTGAGTAAATATATTTTAGCATCGTCCTGGCCCAACAATCAGATTTCAAGGACTTTTGCCATTTAATATGAAGATCTTATTGGTTGGGATGGTTTACCAATGATACATAGACTTGGCTTGAGAAGCTTAAAGGGAAGAGTCTTTATTATTTGCAAGTTGAATGAGACTTTTTGGGGAAGGTGGACAGTAAAAATACTTCACTTGTTAACTTTTTAAAAGGTTGGGGAAAAAGTAATACTTAACAGCCATGTTGCTATCTCCACTGTTGCTATCTCCAGTTAAAAAAAAAAGTGACTGTTCATTAAAATATGGGAACTTTTATAAAAGTACGACTTCCAAATAAATCTGTGTAAGATCATGCTTTTTAACTGTACAATTGTGTATGTGGATCTTTGTGTTCATGCGGGATACCTCCCCATTCATTCCTCCAGTTCTCTCATGGAAATTTACCAGAAACTCTACTGGGAATCTTCCATCCCTTTGAAACTGCAGTTAAGATGTTCCAGATCGGTTTGAGGTCACAAGACCAATCGAAAAAAGCGTCTTACCTTCAACACTTTTGGGCTCAAAATCCAAAGTCCTGGTTTTACACCGCAGCCCCTCTCCGGTCCCGTCGACCCAGATGTACATGGCCTGGACTTTATCCCCCTGAGACAGCTCCATGTATTGCTGCTTGATGACTTTGCTCAAACTGGCGCTGGACGACGTGGCCATCTTTTTTTTTTTTTAAATTTCCTACTATAACACACCTGGTTCCGAGACAACAGGACGAGGGTTAAAGAAAGGGAGAGAAACGGAGCAGGTATGAGCAGTGTGCCCAAAGTGACGCTAGGGGGCCCAAAAACAACCCGAAAGGGCCACCATTGTTCACTTTTCCAGAAAAACAAGACATCAGCAGCTTAAAATTACTAAATGGTGAAAACTCGACGCGTTTGCGTTCATTCTTGGCACTTAATCGGCGAGATACGACGGGAAATCCAATAATCTAGGGGAAAATATCATCTGCATGATCGTCATTTGTCTTTAAATGGAGGCTGGCGTCGAAATGGTGACACGAGGACAGCGAAGCAATACGACGAAAAGTCAAGAGCAGAGCACTGAACATCCTACTGGCACGAGTACGTCGTAGCCATGGTGACACGTTGACCTAAGAAATATTGCATCATCAACAGCAAGCAGCTTCCCCGAGGTGACCACATTCACACACCGAGGAATTCTCACAAACACGACAAAGACTAAATCCTGCGAATACACTTTAGTGTAGATATTTATAGATGACAAAAGCTTTGAAATACCCTCCAAAAACAAAATAATACAAGTCCGGAAGAATTAACGGGCATAAATCGACCTGGTAGTTAAAAACAGTTTACCTGGAGAAACGAGAAAATGTAAATAAAAACTAAAGGACTTGCAGGTCCAGTGTTTCGTCTTGCGAAGGGGGGTTTGTGTTTCGACCATTCTCCGGTACCGAAGCCCGGGTTCTGGCCATTTTTATACGAAACGACTGGCTTTAGGGCGTCTGATTGGTTAGAACCGTCCTAGAACCTAGCGTCACTGTGATGCACGGCTTGTACTGGCCGCTGATTGGTCAAACAGCGAATTTCTGAATACCGCCCACTTTTCCGCAGATCCTCCTCGTGAGAACAACGTGTGTTCCGACTTCACTAGGCGAGGTCTTTTGTCACACTCTGTAAGCCTCCCACCGTGCATATCCACGGTTTTGACCCTTGGGTTGAAAGCTAGGTAAAGCTTGTTGTTTTTGTGTCCCCTTCGAAGAAATTGATTCAATTCGAACAGAGAGAGAACCCGATAATCAGTTAAACTGGAAGATAGCGTGTCCTCTACGCCACCAAGTGGTACAAATTGTTTACTGCACCACTACCGGTTTGAATGAGACCATTATGTAATTTTACCACGTGCAACCTAGTCGATGTTGCCTTAGACTGGATCTCCATGCGAGCAGAGCATATGGAAATTATGATATCACACAACCGCGAACCATGTGTTTCATTCGGTCACATCTTTAGTGACATGTTGCTTTAATATTTGCAAATTTCACAGTTGATCAGAGTTGCAGCAACCCCCTTAATAGTCTCAAAGAAGGAGTCATGCTCGTTACAGATTTGAGTCAAAAATCCCATTTTCATTCCCAGATTTAAACTGCCGAAAGATGATTCAAATTAACATTACATTACAGAGGTTAAGTCTTAGAAGCCGCAACAAGTGTGATTATGCAAGTGTACTCATCACAAAGGCCGGTGAGAGTACGGTATACGTAATGTAAGATTAAAATATAGTATAGTTGTTAAGGAGGAAATTGGAGCACCTTCCCGTGTAAGTCTCTTAGCTCAAAATGTGTTCTCGAATCCTTTGATGACATTGCGTGCATGTGCACGCTTTGGAAGACCTCAGCAGAATATGACGTGTGAATTTTGAAGATGTAATTGGTCTGGTTTACTTGAGGCACACTGCACTATACGACAGTGGCATTATTTGAATCTTGAGCCAGTTAGTGTCTTTATCCCGTGTTTTGTTTTTGTTCCCACAGCAGATGTTGTACCGGGAGGTGATTTTTTTGTTTGTGTTGATCCTCCAGCTGGTGTCCTCATGAACATCTTTAAAGCTGCACCAGCTGGTTGCTGAACATATTTCACGTGCTTGCACAGGTTGGTTCAGTGTTAATGGTGATAGTCTTGTCCATGAACGTCATTGTCACGTTCATCCTTCATATTTTTTTTCCTCCACCGCTACTTCATAATCAATCTCTGCTTTTCTGTTGTGCTGCAGAAAATGTTCTATCCTGGTGCACAGCGCCTCCTCTTGGACATCATGAAAAGACGGCTGCTCAGGCGAAGGTAGGACTACGAGCCATGTAGTGTCAGTACCCAAAGTGATTCACACCGTGACCTCGATTTTTGTTTGTGATTTCTTTTTTTAAAGCTCGGAATGCCACACAAAAGTGGCAAAAAGACTTTGAAACTGTTGAATTCACTCGAAGTCAAATGTCCAAAATCTGAATAATAATTATGTTTTCACAATACATTAACATGCTGTAAATTTTGGACTGATTAGAACGTTCTTGTGAGAACAGAAAAACATTCAATTAAAAATTGTGTTAGGCTGTTAATTGTTTACATATGGCTCAAAACAAGGCTGAAAATTTTTCTTTTGGGAACAGTTTTGATGATGAATGACTTCATTTGAGGAGCAATCAATTTTGAAGAGTGTTTTTTTTTACAGCTTAATCCCTGAAACCTGAAGCAAGGCTTTTATTTAAACATTAAAAACGCGACAATATAACAAGTGAAAATTTGGTTTCCTTTCTTTATATAATCACATTTTAATTTTTTTGAAATCATTGTGTGCATTGCAGTAAACTATTATTTTCTTGACGAGAAACTTTTTCAGTCGGGCAATTTCAAACAACCACGCACTTAATTTTGGTGTTTAACATTTTGTCAATTTGAACTTCTAGCAATTAGCACATCTTCCTCATCCTCTGTTTAATTTACATCCCATCATCCCTTCGTGAGAACGCCACTTGTCAGAAGTGCTGCCATGGCAGTGTTGGTTACATAGGAGCAGTTCCATAACGTTATTTGGCCGCACTAGCTAGCCAGCTGAATCTCGTTGCTAGCTAGTTGGTGTGGCGTTATAGCCTCGATAGCACCCGAGCGGAAAGCATGCAGCTAGGATGGGTGGCTGTTCGTTGCTGCTGTTGTTTTTTTAGACAAGATAATGTTGATTTCATTGTATTTATTTTCTGTGGCAAATCCTTGAAATGAATCCTTGAAATCATCAAACTTTGACGCCATGACTGCCTCCATTCAACAACATTTAGCTTCACCAAAAAAACAAAACTAAGGAGTTGGTTGGGGATTTCTGCAGGAAACTGTCTTCACCTGCACCGATGAACATCCAGGGTACGGACATTGAGAGGGTGACCTACAAGTACCTGGGTGTTCTTCTCAACAATAAACTAGACTGGTCTAACAACTCGGACGCTCTGCTCAGAAAACGGAGGTCTTTTGGAGTTCAGGGGTCACTCCTGAAGACCTTCTATGACTCTGTAGTGGCTGGCCTCAGCCATTCATGATGGCATAGTCCACTGGTCAGGCAGCATCTCAGCCCGGGACAGAGAGAGACTTGAACCGACTGGTCAGGTGGGCCAGCTCTGTTCTGGGCTGCTCCCTGGACACTCTGGAGGAGGTGGGCAACAGGAGGATGCTAGCTAAGCTAACAGCTATGATGGACAGACCCTCCCCGCCCCACCCTGACAGCACTGGGAAACTCCTTCAGCCAGAGACCGATACACCCGCTCTGCAAGAAGGAGAGGTACCGCCGCTCGTTCCTGCCGACTGCTGTCAGGCTATTGAATGGACAGACCTGAAAACCTGGACTCATCCCCACTCACCCATTTTTAATATGGTTATAAGATAAGATAAGAAAACTTTTATTAGTCTCACAATGGAGAAATTCCCAATTCACAACAGCAAAGTTATGAAAGGAAGAAGGAGAAAAACAAAATATAGGAGCTGCTGTAAAGGCAGCCACTCTCGCTTATATTTATATTTCATAATTTATATTTATTTATATACTTTTTATTCTTCTACTTCTCCCTTTCCTAATTTTGCTGCTGTAAATTGGGAATTTCTCCATTGCGAGACAAATAAAGGTTTTCTTATCTTATCAACCATCTGTCAAAGTATACCTAACTTGAAATGGGGCTGATGCAGCAGGCATCTTTTTGTTCTCAACATGAGCAAAATTAAGAATATGGACCACCATTTACCAAAATACAATAAAAGCTCAAGTGAATTAAAAACAGAAATGTTCCATTTTTGGGAACAGGCCTAAAATGTCCAGTCTCACAACACGCTATGAAGTCGGCGTCATAAAGAAAAAACAAGTGTCACTTTCAGTGTTGAAAAGCGTTGTTTGCGTGTGTTGTAGCAAACGACTGATGAATAAAGTTCTTTTTCAGCACACGTTTGTTGTCTTTGCATGATTCGATCTATAAAATTTTGGCAATGAAGATGGCGCTTGGCGCCACCGCCTTCGTTCCTCTACGCCAGTCCCAAGTTAGTTCTTGTATGAATCTTTCAAGATGAGCTTTGATCGTCATTTTCAAAGCTAGCTAATTTTCTGTAGCCTTGAGTTGCTCCGGCAGGCTGTTGCACAGTCACGAGCCATAAAACTGGAACGATGCGTCACCGTGAATGTGTGTTCTGACTTTTGGAATGAGTAAAAGGTTTGGAGGGCGGAGGACCCAAGAGCTCTTGTGGGTTCATGGGCTGAAAGCAACTCAGAAAGATAAGACGGTCAAAGGCCATTCCGAAACTAAGAAAAAGAACTTTCAAATTGATCCTGAAACAATGCAATGATTTAAAAATTGGTCTAATATGCTCTTACCTTCTGGGCGCCGTCAGGACAAACCTAAAATGTTCCTTTTATGGAAGATCAGAAAGCAGGTCATTATAATAATCAATCTGACAAGTGATTAAAGCATGCATTCGCATCTCCGTGTTTGTCCGGGAAAGAATGGGGCGTAGTCTTGCTATGTCCTTGAAGTGATCGAAAAGCCATTTGTGTCATATTTTTTAACATGAGAAATCAAAGTTAGATCAGAATCTTATCAAATATTGCCCAAGTTTTGCACCTGTGAGGAAAGATTAAAAAGGGCGGGGCTTGGAAAGTTTCTCTCTCTGTGACCTCAGGGCCGATGACTAAAATTGCAGTTTTATCGTGGTTAAGCTGTTGAAAATTCTCTGGATCAAGAAGGGAATGAGCAGAGGAGGTTCAGATCCCTTCAATGCGTGCAACACAATTTTGTTGATCTTCTCCCAGTCCTTCCATTGCTGTTGTCTGTTGGTAACGTAGCCTTAGCGCGAAGGAACACCAAATGGATTCGGACATTTCTTGAGAAGGCCGGTGATGCCATGCTGTTCGAGTCAGTGATGGGGATGGGGATGGGGATGTTTGAGTCAGTGACAGTACAAAGATCAATAAGAAAATGTCTCTCCATGGTGGACACTCGTTCACATCCTCTCCATATACTTCACAGACGCAGAAGAGCTCTTTCTCCAACAGACTCTGTCTGTCTTGTGTCATGGGGTTGCTTTTGTTCTAGGGAGCACTACTGAGCTAGTTTTGTGGGGTTGCGTTTTGGACCTTTGAAATACCTCGCCGTTCACCAGTATACACACACTTTTTGTGGTGAGATTTGGCCTCTCTCCCCCGCAATGTGGGATGAATGATAAAAGTAGAGACTCTAAAAGTAATATAGTCGTGAACATTTGTGCGCTCATTGCAATTTTCTATTCCTTTCTATTATTGTTTCTTTCATCTTTAACTGCTTCAAACAACAAAGAGGATGCAGAAAAGTGGTTCAGATTGAATGACTGACTGTGTCTTATGTGTTGTGTTGTATTAATTTGTTTTTATGTTGTTATGACTTCAAAATGGCGCCGCGTGAGTGGCTGCCTTGACAGCAGCTCCTATACTTTTTATTCTTCTACTTTCTTCCTTTCATAACTTTGCTGCTGTAAATTGGGAATTTCTCCATTGTGAGACAAATAAAAGTTTTCTTATTCTTCTTTAAAGAAGGAATCAAAGTGGACCAGGCAGGATACAACACACGAACCACTTACACGAACAAATTCTTGAATGCGCTGCAACTTCTAAACATTGTTTAATTCATAGAATTGAGTAATTACATGGTACTGTGTGCTTAAGGTTCTCAGTGCGGGCCGAACACCCATCAACAAATGATATATTTACGTTCTGTGTCCTTTTTGAGTCCCATATGGGGTATTTTCCTTCAACTACACTGAGGTTACGTCCCAGTTTGAAGATAAAATTCCAGCCGACTTGTCTTTTTTCATTGTCATGTTGGGCTGGAGGGCATGACCTGCTGTGCTTCGCCTCTCTGAATGTTCTCCCGAGTAATTGAAGACATGTGCCGCTACAGCTCACATGCAAACTCAAATCCTTGCTAGGTCAAGTTGTATCAGATTGGTCAAATGGGGTTATAGTTCAGGCAGAGGATTATCTGTAAATCACAGGGTTTATGTCTTTCATTGGTTGGGAGAATCTCTCTGAATGTTCGAACCCACAACCACTGGATCACCTGAGCCATGCCGGCCAAAAGCAGACTGGTTTGTCAAGGGAACTTAGGACCCCCCCCTCCCACCTCCAAACCATAACATAGTAATTCTTTTCAAACTCACTAATATCCTCTGACAGAAGCTGGTTCACCCCAAGGACAAAATCCGTTGAAGCAACCTCAGCAATGTTGTTTTGGCAGCGCGGTGATGTGTTGAGGAGTGCAATGATCTCGACGCAGGAGAGACCAAGCAGCTATTTACACAAGTATATGACTTCTTCGGGTCCAGGAGTCAGGAGGTCCTTTTTCAATTTCAAAAAGAATGGAATTTCCTTAAAGGTGAATCCTCACCCCTGTAGAGAAAATATCAATGTAGGAAAAGAAATAAGAAATGCAATCTTCTGATTGGGATTTAGCGCAAGACGGTACAATCATGTTGTTTCTTTTCACCACTACCGATTTTATGGGGTACTAAACGTTGAGAAACGTTTATTCGCTAACATTACTAGCTGGTGTGTTACTGCATAGGATATATTTGCTCCTACTTGAAGGGGACATCAACTTTATATAAAGTATATATTAAAGTAGCACCTTTATATATTTGTGTATAAATTAATGTGTACAGTATATCTAAATCTATCTATCTGCAGGTGTTCGTCAAAAAATTTGAATATCATGAAAAAGTTGATTCATTCAGGAATACTCTTCAAAAAAATGAAACTTGTGTGATGCACACATTAATTCAAGTGTTAATTCATTTTAATATAGGTGATTATATCTGAAAATTTATTTAAAAAAAACACACACATTTGCTATCTCAGAAAATTAGAATAATATTTAAGTCTATACAAACAAAGGAGTTTTTGAAATGTTGGCCAACCGAAAAGTACAAACTTGAAAAATATGTACATGTACACCACACTGAGCCCCAACTAAGCATTGAGTGCTGGACATGAACATACTTTTCATGTTTATACTTTTCGGTTGGCCAACATTTCAAAAACTCCCTTCTCTGTATAGACTTAAATATTATTCCAATTTTCTGAGATAGCGATTTTTTTTTTTATATTGTCAGATATAATCACCGAAATTAAAATGAATTAACACTTGAAAATGTGTCAGTCTGTGTGGGATGAATGTTTGCATTATGTTTCTTTTTGAATAGTATTACTGAAATAAATAAACTTTTTCATGC